ACAATTGTGATCTGCACCCATCCGGATACATGCACATTGATATCCACTAGACACAATGTTCGTAGTCGTCATAAAAAGGACATTTTCTATTCCCAGCGTCTTGTAATTTTCGATTGATTGATTGATTGGAACTGACCGTCCTTCAGACTTCACCTTCACGCGCATTACTCAGCTCTTCCAATCAACTATACACTCGGAAGCATTAGACTCGAGTTTCGCTCTTGTTAGAACTCATCAGTAGTGCATATCCACCATCCCGTCCGAGATTTGAACTCCGGACCCATCGCATGGGAGGTGTGTGTTACCACTGTGCCAACCGGCTCATACCATGCCTGAACCGAAATACCACCTCATTTTTGTTCAGGTGTCGTCAGAGGTAGTCAGTTAGTTCAATTTTTGCCCGATAGCAACGAAGGGACACAGGTGACAACCTCTTAACTCCAATCGAAAGCTTCCCTCCAAGTCAGGTCTTCCACGTAGGTTATTGGCTAACTGACCACAAACCTACCAGGCTGCATTGATAATTCGCATTTAACTCACAATTACTTGTGAGTAGTGTTATGGGATAATTTATAACAATTATTGATTGATTGATTGATTAGAACTGACCATCCTTTAGATTTCACCTTCACACACATTCCTCAGCTCTGCCCATTTTTGTGAATTTCGATATACCGTTTAGAATCGTTCTCAATTTCTCAATGTTGTCAAATCAAGTCAAGGAGCGGCTCTGATTCACCCTACAGGGGATGAACATTCAGCTACTACACAATCACTCTTCGGTAGTGGGAATGGTATGGTAAAAACAAAAAGGATGATGATACACAGCATATATAAACAAATTTTGGCAAACTTTGTGTTTCAAGGGTTTCAATGACAAGATCGGTGTTAATAAGAAGCCGTGCCATATGTATTTGATGAATGTAGTACAGTCGAGTTTGAAGTCTTTGATTAAAAGACCCGTAAAAATAACTGGGGATGCAGAAAGCCAGTAAGGGAAGGATACAACAGAAGACAAAACGTTTTATCAAGTGACTAGGGGTAGATAGCATTTTCAAACGAATAATGTAAAACTTGAGTTTCCTGACTTCGTGAAATGTCTCAACAACATGAGTATACAAAGAAAGATTACGGAAAATGGTGAATCGAAGGTGATTGATGGAGCACACTCTGGAAACTTGTTCTGGAACAGCGCTACATGTTCCAACAGCCTACCACTGCATAGTTCATTGACTTCCGCTCTGCGTTTAACTCTGTCGATAGAGTATCCTTGTGGTGCATATTGCGGTTCGACGGGATGCCTAAGAAGTTCATCAATCTTTTAAAGTCATACTACCCAGGAATCCGGGCAAGCGTCCGTACCTATGGAAAAGAATCAGCTGAGTTTACATTAAGCTCTGGAGTCAGGCAAGGTTGTCCTGTATCACCGATGTTATTCAGTTACACCGTAGATTGGATAATGCGACAAGTACTCATCGACTATCCTGGGGTGCAGTTTGGCCCAGGTACATGGATTGCGGACCTCGAGTTTGCGGATAATGTCGTTGTACTTGGGAACAGTATGGACAACCTCCAGCCTGTTGTCAGTGGTATAAATCGGTTTGTCAAGTCCATTGGGCTAGAGCTCAACACGTCGAAAACGAAGACATTTTCGACCAAAACTTACACCATGACACAACCCCTTTTGATTAACAGGGAACCGGTCGAATCAACCGAAGTTTTCAAGTATCTTGGCTCTACAATAAGACCGAACCGTCAGGCTAAGGATGAAATACAAATCCGTGTAGATGGAGCTAGAAGAGCCTTCTTACAACTCCGCAAACCGCTGTGGAATCGATGCTAAATAAGCTTAAGCACTAAACTTCGGGTTTATCAGGCATCCATCCGCCGCGTTCTCTCTTATGGTTGTGAAACCTGGCCGCCAAGAATACAATATACAAGGAAGCTCAAAGTCTCATCATTGGTGCTTATACCGCATCTTCAAGGTAAATTGGAGTGATCGGATTTCCAATGATGAGGTTCGACGGCGCTGCTTTAACATTGACAATCTTTCAGAAATGGTACAACGCCAGCGCCTTCAGTGGTTTGGTCATGTACTCCGAAAGCCCGACGCTCAACTCTCGTGACAGGCTGTAGCCCCAGCACCGTGCTGTGGATGGCGTTGCCGACTCGGTGGTCAACTGAAGACCTGGAGTAG